CTTTGCATTTATCCATCTGATCAATACTGTTTAGTGCTTTGCCAGCCTAGCATGTGCTCACACCACCGTATACTCTCAGTGTTGTCTGACATTATTTTGTGCACCTCTAAGCGCACTTTTTATGTACAGATAAGTGTGGTGAAATGGTTCTCAGCTTGTGATGTGCAACCTGTATGTGGGTCTTTCTAATCATCTGTGTGCCTGAATTACTGGGTGTGAGGCACTATCCAGTGTGTTTGTTGTGGCAGCTTTTTAGGCAGGGCAATTCCCACCGCTTTTAATTCAACCTGTTTGTATGGAACTGCTGTTTGGACCTTTAAAAGGACAAAGAAGCGTTCTTGCAAACCAGTCACAACTTACTAGCTGATGATCATAAGATCAAACTAACACAAGATAAAAATAAAATATAGTTAAATCAGTCATTCACGTCTTGAAACAAAGCTGTAATTCAGTTTTTGACCATTCTTCCGGGAGTAATGTAACATTTTATTCATGACGAAATAAAGGCAGTTCATTTGAGAAGTGCATGGCTGGAAGCTTCTTCCTCCATTATTATTCCCTGATGATGATTTGGAAAAAAAAAATCAGAACTAAAGGGAACAATTCCAGGTGCATGTCTTTCTACATTGTGTGTATATATATGTATATCTTACATGTCCAGTGGATGGGAGGGCATAAAAGGACTTTGTCTGTGATTGCAAGTGCTGTATCAGCCACTGAATTCTCTTGCTGTTTCCTAGCTGTTAGAAGCAGTTATAGTTCAAGTCTGGACTACAGGACTTGTCAGACTGTAGCAGAGATGACAATTTAATCTCTTAATCCTTCTTGCTCTTTAGACTTTCTCAGAAGAAACCTGAGAAGAAATCCATCCCCATAGTGGTGGCTTTCTCCTGTTATGGTGGACTAAATGCTTCTGCTATAGCTGCCTCCAGGTAGGCTCCTCTGTCATCCTCCGCATACCCTTGCGAATGCTCCATTCTTTCCCCTGTTGCCAGATCATTTGTTTTATAAATCCACTTCGCTACTCCCAGAAGTAGTGGTAGTTAAAGTGGTCAGGTACTCAGCTCAGAGCCCAGGTCTAGCTCATTTGTGGAGGATCTGAGATTGTACAGCGGCAGTTTTAGCAGAAAGCAGCTACTAACTATTCTCCCTCCCCCCCCTTTTTTTTTCTCTTGGTACAGCGCACATGATGTATGTGCTTGATAACTTGATTGCTTTTTGTACTTTTCTCTGCCCTTCTTTCTTATGCAAAATAACCCTCTGATACAGGCACACAGTTGGATGTTTATTGTTGCCACTTTTATTTACACTTCAGTAACACTTTCTGCAAGAAACACTGTAGGGACCTTTGGTTTTGTCATTGTTTACATGGATGTAGCTCAGGTTTGGAGAAGACATTTCTTGGCATCTGTTAAAATGGGAGTGTTGAAGGATTTATAAATGTGTACTCTGAGGTATAAAAGTGTGTTTATTGTCTGAGTAGTGATATATGAACTTGGCTGATTATTATGTTAGAAATGAGGGTGAAACCCTGTCAGAAAACACATGCATAAAGGCAGGTGGGTCTATACTTGTCATGTTCAGCTAGTTAATACAACTAGAAAGTTTAGCCGAACTTCAGGTATCTTTCAACGTTGTTTTGCTAGAAGATCTTTTTGCAGGCAGATCTACTTGGCAAACCAAGCTGAACTTTTTAGATCATTCCCAGTTAAAATACTCTTTTGCATTACCTCTCTTAGGGAGAAGTTAAGCTCTTGAAGTTAATGCTCCACCCGTTGCTCTCTCAGGAATCCCAACTACAACATTAGAAAGTACGTTGGAAATAACAGGATTTGGTAAAGGCTGACACTAGGTTATTCTCTCTTTTGAAGAGTCTAAATTGTAGAGATCTAAGGAAATTAATTATTTAGACTTTGAGCTGAATCAACAGTTGTTCTACATCATATAGTTTGCATCCAGGATACATTGACTCTATGTCTTGATCTGTGTATAGTTTGTGGCAGGGATACCGTAGCTTTGCCTTAACTCTTGTGAGTTTTACTGCTCGTGCAAATGATTGCTGTTTTCTAGGCTGTGGGAAACAGTAGCATATCTTAGAAAGATTGGATGTACATTCTAGGGTGGAAATGGCCTTTGAGTTAGTCCCACATCTGGCATTCCACACTGACCCATTATTAGATGTTTTGAAAGGAAGTGGGAATGCTTGCAAAGAACAAATGCCAACCTGCCTTTTGGGCGAAAAAGTTTCTCCAAATGACGTATTAGCTGATTTGCATCGTGTAGCATAAGATTACATTCATGTTTTCTCTCTCTTCTTTGATATTAGCTGTTAATATTACTTACCTAATGCTTACCCTTTAGGCAACCATACTAAACATCTTAATTCTCTAACATCTTGAGTGAGTTGTGTATCTTATCTTTGTATATTTAAAAAAAAAAATAAAATCCTCTAGCAGTTTTAAGTTTGGTACCTAGTAATTTCACTTACTGTTTGGCTTCGGAAATCAACAGTTTAAACCATCCTTTAAAATATTAAAACAGTTGCTTATTAGAATTTTGTCCTCATTCTTACTTGTTCTAGAGAAGTTGTCTTAATTCATGCACTGGATCGTTATGAATTACATTCTGCTTTGGGATTCCAGGTTTCTCAGAACTGCATCTAGGTCCAATAAGGATCTGGGAGAAGCACTGTGGGTTCTAGTAATTATTTATTCTTGAGCAGCAGCAATCTTTTATATGTAATGATGTGAATTAGTAGTTGTTCAATTTTGATTGACTGAAAAAGGGTGATCCATGGTATACAGAACACATTTCTTATGGCATGTTTTTTTATTAAATTGATGTTCTGATTTCAGCATGGAATAGAATTCATACATGGGTTAGTTCTTTTATATTTGTGTTGATTTTTTTGTAATTTCTGTGGCAATATGTGTGTGTGCATTTTTCCACCCCTGTGTTGAAGCTCCATTTGGAGGGAAGCTGTGCTAATACATATGAACCAAAAGAGCTCAGGAAGAGAGGTACTTTAGTAAGAGTCAGGGTGACTAACACAGTTGGTCCATTGACTTTGAACCTTTTGGCAAGGTTCCCATTGAAGTGATTATATGCTTTTGCATTGTCCCTTAGCAGCAGGAAATCCTATTTGCCTTTGCTGAGGCTCAACTAAATTACACAAAAGGATGGAATAAATCCTGCTTTTTAGTGTAGGTGGTGGTATAGAGCTAAGCAGAGTTGGGTTCTGAACCTTAACCTGGATAACGTGCTGAATGAAGCACTTTGTCAGCTGAGACAAAGAACAGGAAATTTTAGCTGGCCAAGCTTTTTTTTATGTGAGTAATTTTTTCTGCATTTTATGGATTAAAGATTGACATTATGTGCAGGGTCTTGCTTCATGAAAATCAATCACTCATTTAATGAAAAAACCAAAATCTATATTAAGTCACTGAGGCTTTTTTGACCTACAGAAACATTCAGAAGACAGATCATAATGCAGTGCTCTTGGTGATCTTGTTCCTGGAGTAGTTAAATCAAAATTTGACCACTGTTAAATCCAGATAACTTTATATGCTACAAACAAAGGCCAGTTCTGAATGTTAATCCACTTTGACCAAACTGCTTAGCTCATAAATGTTATGATGAGGACCAGTAGTTAAAGGGGAGGTTTCAAAATACTAAAATATTGAAAATGTTTTTAATAGAAAAGACAGACCTGCAGAAAGCTGAACTAGTATATATGGTTTTTATTTCTGAAGACCTTGACATTGATAAAGCAAGAGAGAACTAAGAAAGTGATTTAGAGAAGGGTTCGTAAAACGGCTTAGGTTATTGCTACCTGCTGAGCTGTAAAATGTTCTAATACCAACAAAATCTTTGGGGTTTGTTTCAATGCCAGTTACACATAAGTGTACCTTTCTGTTTCTATTAATAGTGATTTCGTGCTGTCTAACATAGATGTGATCCTTTTGCTACTATGACTGTTAGTTTGCTTCTGTAAAAGAAATCATGGAAGTAATTTAGCCTATCAGGAGGTAGAATTGGGATAGGAAGGCTTCCACCCATGTCCTCTGAACACAGCATGAGCAGACTTCTGCTTAACTCCAAATATGCTAATGTTCAGACATGAACAGTTCTCGGACCGAGATGGGATTTAGAATAGCTGTCAGGTTTCATGTATTAACTTTCTAGATTTTTCAACCATTTTGTCTGATATTCTGTCTTTCTCCCTTTTTTCCTCCATCCAGGAGGCTGAACAGAATTGACCAGGACAGTATCTTGCAAATTATTACCCGTTTTTATTATAGGTCCCGGTTCACTGACAATTGAGGGCTCTTACCATTTGCTGTGAAACTTGGATGCTCCTGGTTTCTTGGTTTCAGAGCTCTGTCATGGAAAGTCACCACAGTTGGCCTGCAGCATTGTCTAGCAACATTAACAAATGACTGCTAATAAGATACCTGCTCTGTCATTTGTCATGTTGTGAGAGTAGAGCCCAGAGGCTCTGCTGGTGGAGCTAAAGGAAAAGATGATGTTGCTTAGGAAATTGAAAAAGAAGGAAGATAAAATAGACCCCTGGAATAGTGTCTATAAACAGTAGGTTTGACAGTGGCTATGTTTATCATCTGCAATATGGCACTTCCCTTTTTGGATATGTAATAATATTTTTGTCCTATATTCTCTGTAGTCACTATGTTGCACTTGAGTTCTGTAGTTCAGTTAAATAATAAAATACATTAGAATTGATGAGAAAATTCTAAACCCATTTTGTTTTCCTTTGTGAGCAGAAAATGTGACTTCAGGTGCTTGGCTGAAGAATTTTGTGCTTATTTAGAATCCATAAATAAATAAAAAAGCTGTGTGCTTCTTTGTGCTGCGTTGTGGATTGTCCTTACTATATTACTATTTTTCCATACAAAATTACTACAAAAGCTTTGATGTCATTGTTTTACATATGCTTTGTTGCAGATATTTTCATGTTTGATTTTTCTTTTCCCTTTCATCAGACGTTTGCTGACCGAGTATTTGGTATCTTCAGCTGGACAATTCCCATTGCTGTAGCCTTTTCTTGTTTTGGTGGACTTAATGCTTCAATTCTAGCATCATCAAGGTAGTGCATATCTCTTCCTGTTTGGCAAATGTTCATAAGTATTTTTACATGTTACTCTTATGCTCATCTATTATGAGGGTGGCAAAAATACTTTTGTAACTGAACCTATAATGAATAGCCACAATAAAATAAACCTCTGGGTGTGTGTACATACACCCTTAACACTACCTCACTTCCGCAAAGTGTTCCTAGCTGTATGCAGAGGATGATTAAAGATCAAGTGAATGATGTCTCTGTGGTGAGTCTTCTGATTATTTAGATTGAGTTACCTTCCATTTTACTTGGTACAATACATCCAGCAAGTTCTTGTTTTCAAATGTATTTACTTGAAACTTAGTGACTTTAAAAAATCAGTATCTTTAACATTTTTTCCAAGTAAAAAGTTTTAAAAGTTGCTACTGCTATTAAGCTGCAGTCAAAAAGCTTAGGATACAGTACAGAAGCTTTCCTCTGAGTACTGATTATGGATGTGACTAGTGAAAGTTTTAAATAGATTTATTCAGGCACTTTAACATCCTTCCTGTCCATTGAATGTATGCGTAATGCCTCTGTACTGAGAACAAATATGGACATAATCTGGTGAAGCAGTCAATATAGAACAATCTGCAGTTGATAATAAAATTATGTGAGTTTGGTTTTGGAGCATGTTGGGTGAGTGACCTCTTTAGAGACCTGGCAGTCTCTTCTGTTTGGCATTGAAAACTATTCTGCTATAAGCTGGAAAGTTTTCAGTGCTAGCTTCTGGAATTTTTTTAAAACAATAGAAATTTATTTCACTTACAATAGTTGTTTTCTATTTACCAGTAGGATTGTTTTATTAAAAATGGGTGTTAACAGCATGTTTCTAAAAGCTTATATATCTTTTATTGGTTGTTGTACAGTACACCTTTACAAGAAGGGTTGAATCCATGTTCCAGTATGAAGGATGGAAATTCAGTGGTGTAAATAGTTATTTTGACTGGTATTGTTCTTTGATTTACTGTAATACATTCTCAACATCTGTTTTCTGACTATATTTTTTTCCAGGCTATTTTTTGTAGGATCTCGAGAAGGTCACCTTCCTGATCTGTTGTCTATGATCCACATAGGGAGGTTCACACCTGTGCCAGCACTGCTCTTCAATGTAAGTTACTGTTTTTCTTTTCAGCTGTTAGATGTGACTATATGAATTATTTTAAAGGAAAAGTTTTAACAAATCACAAGAGAGAACTTCAGATTTACTGTCATCGAGGTGATTTCTGAGAGAGTGATTTTTGAGGCATAGAATCATGCCAAACACCAAGGAGTGTAAGGTGTTACTTTAAGGCAAAAAGCAGTGTAAACAGGAAGTTTCAAACTTCTGTTGTTCATCTCACTCTTGTTCTTTTCTGACAGTGTGCTATGACCCTTATTTACCTGGCTGTGGAAGATGTCTTCAAGCTTATTAATTACTTCAGTTTCAGTTACTGGTTTTTTGTTGGTCTGTCTATTGCCGGGCAATTATATCTACGTTGGAAGGAACCAGATCGACCCAGGCCTCTTAAGGTAACACTTACTGCAGAATTGTTTAAAATTGCTGTCTTCCACATAATGTAAGAAGTACTGTCTAAACTCTGGACCATACATGTTATGTCTAAAGGTTACAAATTGATCAGGACATAAAACATGGCTTCCATTTTCTGTTGCACCATGAAAGCTAGCTTGTCTGCTAGATAAGAATAAGTGATTGTTGTAATAGTATACTCTTTTATTGTACATTAGTTCAATCAGTATTCCTTCTTTCTGTCAGCTGGAGAATATCTCAATAGGCTAACATAGTAGTTAACCTTTTTTCTTGGATTAGAAATCTCTAATTAGGAATGCTTGAGTCAATTCTGTCAGTGTGGGCCACATTTAGCTCTGATGGTGTTTCAGTACAGTATCTGATCCTCTTACTACCTTTTCACACTGTAAGTTGATATTGTACACAAAAAGGTCATTCCTGTTTTCTGCATATTCGATTTGTCTAAAAACACTTCTTGCTGCTATACGGTTTCTTTCAACACAGCACAGTTACCATACTTGATTACTTTTGCAATTTTTAGCAGCAGTTCTTTCAAGAATAATTCTGCAATTTGCTTATGGTTCTAAATAGCCAGATGTGTAAGAGGAAGAGCAGATAATTTCACAAAATGGGGTTGAGAGGGAGAAGGCTCTCACCAAAATGTTTGTAACTGTAGACAACAAATATTTCAATAACATTCTGTTCTGTTTTTCTGTCTCCAGCTGAGTGTGGCTTTCCCAATAATATTCTGTATATGCACGGTATTTCTCGTGGTAGTGCCACTCTATAGTGACACTATAAATTCATTGATTGGAATTGCCATTGCTTTATCTGGAATTCCAGTCTTTTTATTGGGAGTCTATTTACCTGCATCAAGAAGACCTCAGTTTATCAACAAGATTTTAGGTAAGTTTCTTTGTAGATGGAGATGTTGTTAGGAAAGAGGAAAACTAAGTAAGTGAATCTCATTTTGTTGATGAAAAGCATTGTGGTCAGCTGACCCTAGCCAGCAGCTAAGTACCCACAGAGCCGCTCGCTCACCAGCAACCCCAGTGGGATGAAGGAGAGAATGAGGAAGAAAAAAAGGTGAGAAGACTTGTTGGTCAGGATAAAGACTATTTAATAAGTGAAGGAAAGAGGGGGAAAAAAGCCCTGCTGCTGCTAAGGCAACCGTTTACCACCTCTTACAAGCAGACTGATGCACAACTAGTCTCCAAGCAACTTCTACCTTGGAAGACACCCTCCCACATGCACACACTTCTTCCTCTACCTGTTTTTATTGCTGAGCATGACATTATATGGATGAAATGTCCCTTTGCCTAGTTTGGGTCAGTTGTTCTGGCCATCTCCCCTCTGAATGTCCTGCCCATCCCCGTCCTGCTGGTTGTGGGGAGGTCAGAGCAAGAAGAAGCCTTGTTACTGTGCAAACACTGTTGAGCAATAGCCAAAACCTCAGTGTGTTACCAACCCTGTTTGAGCCACAAATCCAAAACACAGCCCATATGGGCTGGTATGAAGAATGTTAACTGCATCCCAGCCAGACCCAGTAAAGGGGTATCTGATTTTATATATATGGTTTTACACCCAGGTTGTATTTAAAAGACCATCCACTTTCTACAGCTGATGTCCTGGTTTTATACATTTCTCTTTAATCAAGCACCTGATAAGTCTTTTTCTTAAGCAAGGTTGATGACTGTAAAAGGGCTGGATGTTCTTGGTAATGCAAACTAACTGTTTTGCTTTATTGAATCAGTTGTTTTGAAGATGGATAGGTTTTATGTCAGTCATTCAGGAGTTTTACCTTCTACTGAATTGCTGCAGTTAAATTATACATTTTTCTCCAGCAGGTTTATAGCATAATCTTAGAATGCAACAGGATGTGGTACTGCAGCAGCTAGTGAATACGTAAATACTCAGTAATCTTGTCACTTTTCCTGTGTGCTATTTATTTTTTTATTCTTCCAATTCTACACGCTTAATTATAGAGAGAAAAGATTTTGCTTCAGTTACTTGGCAGAGTGCCTAAGAAAAAAACACCCTTGCATATCAACAGAAGCTTTAAACATTATCTGTGTAAAAGAATTGAATGGAAGACACTTTTTGTATTAACTGTTTATCATTTGTTTCCCTTAAGAGAAGTGTGGCAGCATTCTTGACAACTTTCATTAGTCACATGCATGTTGTGTAATTAGGGTTGAGATAGGTGGCTAATCTGAATATTCTTCTAATCTCCAATTTCCTATGCAGGTGCAGTCACACGAAATATGCAGCTGCTCTGTTACTGTGTTTTAACAGAGATAGACACAAATGAAGAAAAGAAGTTAGAAGTCAAATCCAACTAAAATGTCAAAGCCATTACAAGAAACAGGAGGGAGAATAAAGCAATTATGACAACAAAAGGAAGAGGTGGAACTGGAAAAAGCAGGCAAACTGTTACCAGTGGTCTTTCAGAAACACTGAAAATGTACTTACTTGCAGTTGGATTCCCACACGGATCGTGCAGTCTCATCACCCTTCAAACTGTGGCATATTTTCAGGGCATGATTTCATTGGATAATGATTACCTACTCATTTCAGGCACACAAGCTATGCATCAGTACTGTTCCTTCTTCAGAATTGGTATTAAAATGGTAAGAGCTAATGGATCAGATTGGATTTCTGCAGAACCAGGAAGTGAAGTAATGCATTTTTAAGTTAGACTGAAAACCACTTTGACTCAAAAGACCAGAAGTCATTGCCAGCTTAATTCTCATGGATGTTTGCATGAAGTGATTTGCTGTGCTATCTCAGTTCTTACCCCAGAAAACTGGTCACAACAAATTACCTAATTTGTCATTATTATCAGAAAAATGAATAAAGTTGTGCTACATTATTTAAAGACTGAACCAACCTTTCTTCCTTAAAGATAAGTATTTCATTCCGTACACTATGTGGAAATGTAGTATCTGACTGTGGCAAGGATTTAATCACAAAACACCTGGGCACTAAAGATCTGACTAACATTTGATGATTCTTTCCTGTTAGCTTGTTAGTTCTTGCTCAACTTCTGATAGGCTTTATGAAACTTCCAAAATTAAAATGTTCAGTTTGAAGCTTGTAAGCATTTGTTTCTGAACTGTTTCAGTGAACACACAGCAGTGTTACCTCAGCTGTCAGAAAATTCTCTTTCTAAATTTCAGTGCTGTTCACAGGAAAATGACCATCTGAAAACTCACAGAACAAACCACTTTCTTTTTTTGTCTTCTATAGCAGAAGTAAAGTTCTCTGGCAGCAATTATATATTGAAAGCCAAGTAGCAGGGAGAGAAAATAGGAATAAAAACAGAAATAAAAAGTAGTATTGCAATACATACTGATGCTAATTAGTAGTATTTGTAATTCCAAAGCTGTAAACCTAACATCAGGATGCTTTGATATGGAATTTTGGTGCAGCAAATGGCAATATGAAGCCATCCTGTGTGGCTAGCAGAGTGAGATGTACTTTAAAAACATACCAGGAATTTTTATCTTAGTTCAGAATGTTTACCTCAGTTGACTCGAGTTTGTCCACATGCAGTTTTCTGTGCATTTAATCACAAGATTATGGCTGAAGCAACATACTTCAAATGCTACACCACATTTGCATCAGCCACTTGAATAATAGTGAGAATATCTGGATTCTTGCACTGACTCTGGCCAAGTTTACCTTACACAAAAAGCTACAGATAATGGCAAATGGTAGTAGATAGTGAAGACTAACATAAAATGGAGTCTTAGGCTACCTTTATGAAGCAGCATTGGGATTCAAGATAGTTAAATTCTAGCTGAAGAACTTTGTGCACTGTAGGGTCTTTTAGTATTTAATGAAAATGAGCATTTAGCTATTATAATAGAGCTTTTTAATCTTACATATGATTAGAATGAACTCAGTGTCTTGAGATATCTGTCCAGTGGGCAAGCATAGCTTTAACAGGCTAGGGTTGCGGCATAGGTTAACAGCCCTATTAACCTTTCTGTGAAACCAAGGAAAAAAATACTTCATTACCTTGACATCACCAGCCAGAACTAATTGATCGAAGTCACTGCTGCAACCTACAGCTCATGAATGATGTTGATCTAACAGCCTATTAGCTATTTTTTTAGACTCAACAAGAGTGCTGAAATACTTTGTGTGTCCAAGCAGGTAAGACTAAAATGTTTTAAACATGTATGAATGAAATTTAAAATGCTGACATGGCTTCAGCTGTACCAACTCCTATGACCTTTAATTTTAGAGTAAGGAAAACATAGTCAAAAGTGCTTTATTTACAACTTAAATGCACATATATTGTTCTACTCCAATAGTAAAATTACTGGAGACAGATTCAGCAATAGAATGGACAGGTCAAGGCATTTCATATGCTCAAACACTTGAAAAGAATGTAACTTGAAATTTAGGAACAAATACAGTAGAAACCACTAGGACAGGGTGCCTTTTTCCAAGACTTCCACTTGCCATCATGGCAGACACCTTGATCTTGTGAAACTTGACACACTGGTCATGACCAGAAGGGCTCCTGCCAACAGTGCCTCCATATATAATGTGGAGGTACTGTCAGTACAGGTACAAATGCTTGGGCATGCAGTTTTACAACAACAACAAAAATTTCCTTCAGAACCTCAGCATCACAGCATGGGCAGAAAATTTTATTTTAAAGCATATAGTAACTTTTGCTTGGAACAAAAATTTGTACTGTCAATTGGCCACATTCACACCCATCTGTTTAATACCTACCAGCTGAAGTTGGCTGCTCAGTAACAGCTAAGATGATAGTAAAAGGTTTCAGCATTTACTGGAGTCCCAATCTAGTATCTAACACTCAAGCCTAGTCAGTAAAGCATGAGGGTGAACCATGCTAGCCACCAACAGTTTCGGAAGGCCAGACAAGCAAAAATTTAGTTTAAAGCTCATCCATGTAAAAACTGGTTTCCTGCTGTCCCAATGAGCACAACTTTCACTAGAAAGTGGCTTTCCAGGGGTTTTTTGGGGTGGGTTTTTTTGTTGTTGTTTTGTTTGGCGTTTTTTGGTTGTTTTGGGGTTTGGGGTTTTTTTAGTTCAACATTCTTAAAAATAGCTATCAGCAGCTGTCTGGATTTTCAGTTCTACTGCAACAGTAGAATTTCATCTTCAGAATGCATTTCATCTTCAAAAAAGGGCTGTTAGTCAGAATCCAAATCCTGGATCTCATCATATCCAAACTCCTGTAGAACCTCCTGTTGGTATTTGTTCCATGTTCTTCTCCTGTAACCTTGGTCCTCATCACTGAAGCTCTCTTCAGACTCTAAAGCAAAAGCATCAACACTTTTCAATTATCCCTTTTTTTTTTTAGTTAAACAATTAGGTTAGTCAGACTATTTTAAGCTTCTTGAATAACTAACAAATGCAAAGTCCGAACAACTTCTATATTAGGCAAGGTTTGAATTGTGCTTGGAGTGCACTGGGATGGGCAGTTCAGAAAGCAGAGGCAGTGTTTCACAAGCACGTGGAACCAAGTCATCTATTCCATCTCAAAAACGCAATCCTTTGCAATTGCAGCAGCCTGAAATGGAGTTCTAAGATCTAAGGTCCCTTGTAGTTCCAAGCCACAAGATCCTTCTCTAAGCAGGTTTAACCCCTTATAAGAGCAAAACACTACCCCAGCAGCACTCAGTTGCTTTATTAGAGATGGCATGTAAAAATCATGGGATTTATATATGCATAGCATGAAAGCAAACAGTATTTATGACAGGCATACCTTTTTCTCCATCACCATCTTCCTCGGGTAAGAATTCATCTTCATCAGGATAATCATTACGCCAGTTGTTTTCATCATTTTCATCGTCTTCATCTTCATATATTTCCTCAGGAACACGATCATCATCTACCTGCATGTCGACACAAAACATTCACTATAAATACGGACACTCGGCATTAAGCAGTTTTTCATCCACCTGTACACTGTACAGATCATAGAGACAAGAAATACTTAGCTACTGCACACATAAGTAATTCTGCAGTTGCACAAAACACAGCGCAGAAAATTTGTGTTGTCAGCATATTCACCATAACATAGCAATCTGCTTTAGGTGAAAAATCAGTTGTCACGCATTTACATGTTCCAGTTCAGCATTTAAATGCTGAGGTTAACATCTAAATTAAATCTACTCACTTCAGGACTAATGTAATAGATAAAGAAAAAGTAGCTTCAGGTTCCCAATACACAAGTCTATTGATCACAGTATCTACACAATGAAAGACTAAAGCTTACATTTAACTTTCTGACTCCAGTCACTGAAGGACACTTCTATTACAAGAAAGTACCTTGTATTAAGATTAAAGTCAAGTCCTCAAATACCGAAGAAGTTGTTTGTGTGTCCCCTTGCTTCTTTTTTCACTCAAGTGTATTTACAATTACATTTTAATTGCTACCTCCTAATCACAAATGAGACCTGAATTACTCAAGGTTTACATTTGCATGCCAAAGTTTATTTGGCAATTTGAAGCCAGACAAATTCTATCCCTTCAGTTTTCATTGTTATATCATAGTTTGCTTGAACAGGGGACTGTCAGTTACAAAAAGGCTAACACAGAAGTCACTGAGCATATGTGTTGTATCTCAAAGGATCTTTCTTGCCATGGCAACTTTAATGATAGGACTTCAAGCATGTTTATTTGTGACCTTTCTATTTAAAAAATATCTGTTTTCCTGTGCCCTCACCAGTTCATATTCTTCTCTGTAGGGCTGTACAGAAAGGATATTTTGGATCCAACCAGGGACTGATGTTTCCATATAGTAGATGTCATAAACATACTCATCTTCCTTCTCATGGTGTTCTTTTTTACCATCTTCAGAAACATTTAAACGCTCACGTATCATCTCTACTGCATTGCAAAGAATCACATCTGGATCAGTCTTCTGCTGAGAAAAAACAAAAGACGTGTATTTCCACTGAAGTCATGCACACAAAGTCTTAGTTACAGCCACAGTTGTCTTTGTAGACAGTAGCCAACAGCTAGCTAAGGATGACATTCTGAAATCTTGGACCAAAACACTTTCCCATTGGAATGCTGATATTTAGAACATTGCAACCTAGAACAGAAAGACACCAAAGAATTTTCCAATTACCGTCATACTGTACAGCCATGCCTTGCTTCAGATAATACAATAAAACTTCTGGAACAAGTTCATTAGAAACTACTGAAGGGGATATGTCTAATCCCATAGAACTGTTCATCTGTTTCTGATGACATGTTGGTTGAAAAGACAAGTTTTAAGACAGCCTGTGCTCTGTAGAGCATTGCAACACTGCAGGAAAGATGTGCATACAGCAGCGTGGACAATATGCAAGCAGATTACAGTATACAAAGTGGGCAGATGAAAGAATGAAAATGTGACATTAACAGGAAAAGGCTGACAGGCCCTACAGATACGCTTTTTATTTCCTTTAATTCCTTACTTTAGCATTAACACACAAGAAATTTCTTTCTGCTGTCTCCCTTCTAATAAATTACTTGCAATGCATTTGCTTTAGAGACCTGCACTTGAAGGTCTACACAGGCAGGTTTTTGCTGCCAAAGCTTTTAAGAATATCTTGTCCAATCCACAGTGGTGTCTCCTGAACAACTTAAGTAATTCTGAGGAACAGGTACAGACCAGCCTTTCACTCACTTCTAAATACTTACAGAATGAAAAAGAAAGTTTACTTCTTGCCTTCAATACTTACTGCGAGCTCTAGAAGAGTAAGAGGAAATTCTGATGCTACCTGTTTCAATTCTGCTTTTCTGCTCAGCAGAGTGATAGGTAACACTTAACAGATCTCAAATGTCTGTTTGAACTACTTGTTTAATAGAAAGCAAGAGTTCATACTAAAGTTTGATGGCAGAGCCCTGATAACCTGTAAGAAATGCTGAAGGATGACAGCTGGTTGGGCTCCTCCTCACCCAGGTATCTTCTTTAACATGAAGCATTTAAGTTTTACTCAGAGCTGTGATGGGCTGTGTAAGTAAAGCAGCCACATGTACTTAGATACAGTGAAGGAACTACTAAAGAAAGCGTACACAGCCCTCTTACCTCTTAATACTGTGTGCAGGGCAACCCTACACAGAAGGCAGAGCTTCTTCATACTTAAAACCATGCTAGATACTGAGCAGATTTTCCTCCAACTGAAAACTCATAATGCAAATGAAAACAGCATGTAGGGGCTTAAGCAGCTGGTCAAAGACCTAGAGTTCTGCTAAAAGCAAAATATGCAATAAAACCTTATGGAATTATGGGAAGGGGAGGGTCAAAAAGTATCTTTTCCTTTAGTGAATCCTGCCTACAAGCAACATTCCGAGGCATCTGGGTAGATAAGAAGACATTGAGTTAGATTATTCCTTTTCTATGTAGAGAAGAAGTTAATAAAAAACCCTCAGAGACCACCCAACAGCTGAACATGAGAATTTACACATCAGAACCAGGTACAGAAACAATAGGGTGGTATGACCCCTTCCTGTAGCAGCCAACTCCACACGGCTGTCTGTCTCAACAACATTAGTGCACTTAAGGATCCTCATGAAAAGTTACTCCCTGTACAGTATTCCAACTTGCAAATATCTAGTTAAAGCTCCTATTAAATAATGGAATACTTACAATGCAAAAAAACTTCCACAGCAGTCAGTTTGCCCACATGTACCAGTCAACAGTGATACCAAAGTGCTTCAAGTACGCTAAGTTCATTTGCTGACCTGTGCGTTTGCAGCAGTTACAGAGTCTCCCACCACCTCCTCTTCTTGTACAATATCAAACAACTGGAATTTCCCACAGCAGCCCGAACTCTCATGGACAGCACCACTCTCCTTTTGTGAAGCATCTTCCGTTGTTTCAGAGTCTGATCTGTCACCATCAACTGATACCTCGCCATTTATGACGGCTGCAACTGTCTCAGTACAGTTAGGTCGATGGCTGGCTATCACACGGTAACGGTTTTCCTTCCTTTTCAGTTGCTTCGAAGCGCGGAGTTCCTGAATGATTCGCTGAGTGCTTCCTAAAGAGGGTCGCAAACTTTGAGCTGCTTTGTCTCGAGTGATCACTTCTTGAACGTATTTCTGAACTGGTTCATTCTGGGTAGAGGAACAAAACCAAGGAGGACTATAATGACACCATCAATGTAGTAAGTCATACTCCTTCCAAGAAGTAATTAATAACTACTATTACAGGTGCTGCCTATTTGAGAACTGCAGTAACAATGCTCCTACATTCAACTAACTTCTGTTACTGCTTTAAGCAACACAACTATCATAATATTCTCTTGATACAGGGAAAAAAAATTAAGATACTTGTAAATTGTAAGACTGTTTCAATTTTATTTTTAAACACTATATTTTGTGATACAGAATCACCCTCCAAACTGTAACACATGCCTTTGGAAGACTGATGGCTGTAAATTTAAGAGATAATATCCTTTACAGTCTCCCATAAAGGCAAGTTCCCAAGAAAGACCAGTTTTATTCCATATAAAAGGCTGTACGGTGGATGGACGTCGTTAGCCTTGTAGAGCCGAGCTTCAGCACTCAAACAACAGTAATTCAGGCTTCGCTTACTAACCATTCCATAGCCTGTAAGCGAAGAACAGGCTGTAAGTACAGAAAAGCCAGTGCTGAACACAGCTTTTCACGGCGGTCACTCCGTTCTACAGTCCTTAACTGACGGCCTGCTTCGCGCGGGCAGACCGCGGGGAAGAGAAACCACCGCACCCTCGTTTACCAGGACAGGCCGGCGCCTCGCACCGGGACGCTACTCCCCAGGCTACCGGCAAGGACTCCCCATCCACAAAGGAGGCGCACCGCGAGCCTACCGAGAGCTCGCTGCTTTCAAAAGCCCCTTCGGGAGCACGGCGAAATGCCCCGGCTGCATGACGCCGCCCCCGTCCCCCTGACGTGCGG